TGTTTTGGCCACCCTGCCCAGGAAAAAGCTAAAATTGTAGGATGCCTTTTTTATTTTTAAGGATAGAGCCCTGAGATTCTCTCCCATAGACAAATCTAGGTATTTGTTTTTAACAGCAAGGGGTGATCAAAATATATGGCCAGCATTTAAACTACTTATTACAATGAAAGACACACTGTTATCAATTCCCCCTCAAAATATTCCACCTCTTTTGCAAATTCAAAGGGAGCAAGAGACAAAGGGAAGGGGAGGAAGAGGTGGGAGAAGGAAGACAACTCTGAGCTCCACAGTGAATGTAGTCACTATGCACTGCAAACAGACGCTAATAAAAAATGAAAAGTAAAAAAACTGGCTAAAAAATCCTCCCCCTTGCCCTGAACACACTTGTTCCACTCTTCTTGCCCTTTTCTGAAGCAGTTCTGTTTTTTTTTGTTGTTTGTTTTTGTTTTTTGAGGTAGGATCTTACTATGTAGCCCAGGCTGGCCTCGAACTCGTGGCACTGCTCCAGCCTACTGAGTGCTGGGAGTACAGGTATGCGCCAGCACGCCCCGCTCTGAAGCAGTTCCGGAAGTCTTCTTTTGAATATTTTATAAGGTGTGATAAAAAATGCAAATGCTGCCACTGAGTGCCATGCAGGGGAAGGGCAGGCTCATTAAAACATTACAGTGCGTTCTCATCCATCTTATTCAGGGGATCTGGCACCACGTGACTTCTGACTCTTCCCCAAGTTAACACGACCAGGAACGGCAATGTTTTGAATGGATTCAGGACGTCAAAGCAGCCACAACAGCACAGCTAAAGACATTCACGAAAGAGGACTGTCAGAACTGCTTCAGAAAGTGGCAAGAATGATGGGACAAGTGTATTAAAAATGAAAGGGGAGTATTTGGAGGGAGATTGATGGCAGTGTGTGTTTTACTCTAATAATATATTTTTTAAAAAATGTAAACATTCACTGTATTTTCTATTGTACCTTGCGCAGTATTTCCAACATTGGGTTCAAGCAAATAGTCAAAAGATCCAAACCTAGATCAGGAAACTCCTTGTTTTGGATAACGACTTGTGGTTGCCAGGGATTTTGATTATCGGTGTCCGGAGGATGGCGCTGCTATATCTTAGCTGCAGCTACCCATTCCCGGAAAGACCATACTGGCAGTAGAGCCAAGAGGATGAAATGGAATCTGAGTCCTGGTTCTCCAGAGCATAATATAATTCTTTTCATCCAAGGTCCAGGTACCTGAGGGGCAGCATGGTCGCCTGGTTGCACTGGTTTGTAAAACTAGGAGGACATTTTAATCGGCTTCCTTGTCATGGCCGCTGCCCCTCCAGTGTACCACCGTGAGAGAATCTGGAGCAGCCCGTTACATTGCAAGACTAGGACCAAAGGAGCTGTCATATTACTAGGTGAAAAAAGAAGGACGTGATTAAAAATCTTCTGCATATTTGTCCTTAATTTTTTTAAAAATTGAGATTCCTATTTCTTCTATAATCAAAATAGGGGGCTGGGGACATAGCTTAGTGGTAGAGCATATGACTTGCATGCAGAAAGCCATCAATTCCATCCCCAGCATTAAAAAAGAGTAATTATATATTTATCTCCCCAAACTGAAATTATACAGGAGTGCTAGAAACACTGTACTATAACAGGCTTTTTAAAAGAAAGGGCAGTATTTTAGATTTCATGTTGAAGATGTTTTATAAGCAATGCAGATTTATAGAATTTAAAAATTAAAGTGTTGAGTTTGGGCCTTGGGCTGCCTCTGGCCTGGGCTGTGGTGCTGGTAAACAGAGGGCATGAATAACGGGATGGGAGAGCTGGTGAGTCTGTCGCAGCCGCCAGCCTCCAGCCAGAGCCCGAGCTGCTGTGCCCTGCCGGCGTCTAATGCACAGCCCGGCCCTTCGTAGCTGAAGCCACCAGCGCGGTCCTCCCCAGCACTGCTGTCATAGGCTGCCTCGGATGCGGACAGGAATGCTGCACGTTGTCTACTGTTCAGACCCCTAGGTCTCAGTGAACTGAGGTTTAAAGGAAAACCCAGCACTGCTTCTGTGACACTCTTCCAAACCTACAGGAACGTGTGCAACATCCAGCACATAAGAAGATAGTCCTTAAAAGTATTTTTGAATGATCTCAATGGAGTCCTAAAACGTCCCTTGTCCCTTTTCTGCAGTTCCTCTGGGCGGGGCCTTTCATGTGTGCGCTGCGGTGCGGAGGACACTTATAGTTTTGGATTAAGCACGGTCCAGCCCCAGTGACCAGCTCCCTGCCACCTGCTGATTACATGGGCACATCTGCCCTTTCCCTCCTCCGGGATCCCCAGCTGTGAGTAAGGAAGCCCCTCTGGCTGCGCCCATCTCTGCACCCCTCTGCCTGCCCCCACCTTCTCCCCATCCCCTGTGGTTGACCAGAAGGAAAAGTGGCACAGTCTGGCTTCTCCCCTGCACATGTAGTATCAACAGGAGTCCTTTGGGATATTGAATTTACACATTTTGACAGAGACAGATGAATTCAAATAGTTTGTTGTATATTTTTTAAGTTGTATAACCATTTTTTACTTTCTGATTCTGTTTGAGCTTTTGGCTGAAGTATTGCTCACATCTTAATTGGCTCACCACAGCCATTAATTGGTGGCTTGTTTCATTCACTTGTTCATTTATTCATTCATATTTTATGAATTTTGCATGCATTAAAAATGTAGGTTTTCTCACTGTCCCGGTACCTAGGAGGGAACAGAGTGTGGACTATGATCTTACTGTGAGGTTTAGTGTCGCATTCCACCTGCACTTGCAAAGCACCACCGGTGGGGATACCACGGGTAGTCATTCGCTCATTCAATGCATTTCACTAGGATCCGCTCTTGCCCCTGGCTTTAGCACGCCTGTGGCTCTAGAAGCTTCTCAGCCATGCAGCCAGAGTTGAGCCAACTCTGGGAAGCAGGCAGGTGATTCTCCAGGCTGGCCAGTATGACACGGCTTGCCTTACTGTTCCTCCACTTACATACAAATCGGCCTCATATCCCACAGTGTGCTGGGTAGCCGGGAGCCATTCCAGAACTTTGGCTTTGGCAAGGGCTGGAACTGATATTAGCATCGTCTCATTTCTATGTCTGCTTAGAGGAAAAACTACACAGCAGAACTGCTCACAGGAAATTAGTGAAAGTAGTTTCAGCTGCAACCTACACAGGAATAACTTTATATGCTATTTAATTTTTTTTTTTTCAAATTGTTCTTGTTTGTTTCCAGTGTAAGTCACAAATTTGCTGTCAAGTTAACTACAACATTGCGACGGTAACTACTAACATTCAGCGGCTAGAGGGTGTCCAACGCTATGCTGAGGACGTGCTCACAACTGTTACAGTCTTCTTCTTCCAGTTGTGAAAAATAGCGTGCAGCTGTTAGCACACAGGATTTGCATTCAGGGCTGTGGACGCCAAGGGCATTGCTATGCTGTGCATCTTTCCGGCATCACCAGTGTCCCTAACGAACCTGGTGACTCACCACTTGCTTCCCACCCTCCTCTTAAGGGCCTATTTAAGGGGCATCGCCTGAGAATCCTGTCCTGTGGGTGCACAGCTGGGCTGGCTGCCTGGCTCTCCCTGTCTCGGGTTGGCTTCTGGCCTTGACCTTGTGGAGGTGGACGGGTCCCTGCCAGGGAAGAAAGGGAGTGGTTTGAGCGGTCACCTCCCTCCTGTTTTCCAAGCTCTGCCCATATACTTCCTGTGTTCTTTATCAGCCCATGGGACGGATTAGTCTTCAGGCAAGGCCCTGGCTCCTTCTCAGCTCTCGGTAGTTTAGGGGAAGAGGCATCATGTCACCGCATTTAGGAGGCCTGGGACTTCTCAAGGGGTCTGGAGGGCCTCCTTAGCTGCTTGGCATAACTACTCCGGGCTCAGTGCCTACGGCACTCTGTCTTTTTAACGATCCTGTTTATTAAAGCATAGAGGCAATTTTCCTCAAGTTGTTCAAAACCCTGATCTGTCAAAGATAAATGCTTTCTCCTGCAGCCTTTTGGTTGTTTTTTGCCCCAGGCCTTTTCTCGCTGCCTTCTTTGTTAGCTCACAGGGAGCCAGAGAAGGTATTAAAGATTCACTTCATTAATTCATCACCTATTAGAAAATTTGGCTTTCAATCTGCTGGAAAGAAAAGCTTCTTTGGCAGCAGATATGGAACCTTCTCCTCTCCCACTCCAGAGAATTAAAAATCAAAATCAAAACCAAAGACAAACGAACAAACAAACAAAAATACCCCTTCAGCTAATTAGAAAGCCAGTGTGAAACTATGGGTAAAAACAGTTCCTTGACTCATGTGTAGCTGGTTACAGTGGTACCAGAGCTCTGCTTTATCATCCAGCAGATGCTTCTTTCTCTTATGCAGCTTTGGGCTGAGTGCTTTTTGTTTAAGATCCTAGCTGGGCCTAACTGTCTCACGCTGCCCGTGGAAGCTGATCTTGGGTGTTTCCTGTGCATTTGTTCATTGGTAATGGTGAATGAGCTTCTCTAAGTTTGAACTGTGATCACACTGTTTTGCTCTCCTGGGGTGCTGCTAGGTCCCATCCTGAAGTGCAGACAAAGACGCTGCTCTGTGGGTTTTCTGTGACTGGAAGTTTTCTACGTAGGAACCTCAGGTTGTTGCTGACCACCGAGAAGGTGGTTTTTTGACTCCTAGCAGAATGTAAATGAGCTTGGCTGTGGGCTGCATTTAAAGACATTTTCTCAAGCACAGCAGAAGTTTTGTTCTGAAAGGAATTGAGGCTGTTGGATTGTGAAGTCAGAGGCATGCTTGCGGTTTGCTTTTTGCTGTAGGGAAACCTTCCCCTGCGTGTTTTAGCACTGTCTCTGTCAGACAGCGTGACTTGGAACTTTCTAAAGTATGTTATACAATGGGTAATTTACATTTTGTCTCTGTAGCTTGACAGTTGAACAATATGCTCAAAATCAAACCAAACCCAACCCAAACAAAGTGAACAAAAGGTTCCCATAATTTTCTTTGCCAGATTCTTTTACCTGGTTCGATGTCAAGCGAGAAGCTGTCTATGTCCAGATCCAGTTGTTGGGCTGCCGCGGAGCGGAGGTCCTCCAGGACGCCATGCACGGCCTCGGTGAGGTTGTACGGCACGGACCTGGCAAACCTCATTTTGCTGTTCACGATCACACTCCCATTTCTGAAGTTAAGTATTTCAAGTTGCTTAAACCCTGTGAGATTGGATTGTAGATATGGAACCAGCTGCAAAATACAAGACAGTTTATTGTTTTGCGGGTGTGAATCCTGTCCACATTCACTGCTCTTTGTCTCAGGCACACATTTCGGTTCCTTTTGTTGGTTTTCCTTTTGTTTCTGGATTTAACGTGAGGCCAGAACACCACTACTTAACGGACTAATTGTAGTATTTATGTCCCTGTGTCCATCTTTCTATCTTGGTGTTGAGACGGATGGGCAGAGGTTTCTTCATGATGAAATGTGAAAACAGATTTTTAAAAACCCAGGCCGTGCTATCATCAAAGTTTGACTACCAGGTTTAGTTGTTAAAAGAAAAAAAGTAAACAAAAACCTGGTTTAAACCAAGCTTGGGAGCAGCCTGAACGTATAAAACAGACTGTTATTTGGAAGGGACAAATTTGAGAAGACCTACTGAAGTCAGCATCAGCTTTGACACCAGACATTAGGGTGTCATGTGTGTAAGGGAAGCGTTTCATGGCCAACACAATGTGGTGCTAGGGAAATAGCAGGGACCTGGCTGTTAGGAGACTTGGATGCCGTCCCTAAAACTCTCCCTAACTAGTCTGGGAACCGCTGTGCTATGCCTCAGTGCGTCTGAATTGGAATGGACCTCAAAAAGCTATGCCCAAGGGATTCCCTTCCAAAGGATAAGTTAATAATCTCCAGTAGACCTCAGGTCCTCACGTGCTCCTGTGAGCCACAGCCACTGTAGAGACCATTTTCCAGAGAGATGCGAAGCTCAGTGGTGCCTTGTCCCTGGCCCTAGCAGTGAGTCCTTCATAGATGAGCCACCCACCTGCCAACCCCGGGAGCCCACGGATGTCAGCCGGGGTCTCCTGACTTGAGCCACACCTGCTTTTTCTTTGCCTTTGTTTCTGCCCCACTAGAACTTGGACTCTGATTCTGACGCACACTCTGGTCCTTCCCCAGGCTATTATGAGAATAAAGTAACATTTCACATAAGGTTTGGAACTGTTTTCAACTTACTCTGTCCTGCTTTCTCCAACGTACTTTGACTGAGCACTTCTTCGCGTGTGAGCACCGCTTGGGCCTGGGAGGGGTCTGCTGTCTTTCCCTAGTTGGTGTGCGGGTAGCCAGCTGCCCTTCTCCCGAACTGAGTCTCCAGGTCTTGATAGGACTGAAGCGGACTCAGTTTCCAGCCTCCCATGCAAGGATGTGGCCCAGTGCTATGCCACCAACGGAATACAAGCACTGGGTTCGAGCAGCCTGGCCTCACCTGCTGACCAGGGCTTGCTGTGCCTCAGCCCCCTCTTCGAAAGTGGAAACAGGTACACCAATGAGAAAACATTGCTGGGGCTGTGGAGCTGCAGGTGAGAGAAACGTGGGTCTTTGGGTGACACCGTAGAGCAGACCTCTCTCACCCACCGTGAGGAGCAACTACCTTGTAGCTAGTGCTGGACATCATCATCTTGATCTCTTTATTACCTGAGCTTGGCGTAAACCCAAGTAAAGAAGTGGGCTGGGTTCACTGGGACTCTGTTACTTGAGATTGTCCCAGTATCTGCTTACTTCATGGGGGGGGGGTGTGTTTGTGCGTGTGTGTGTGTGTGTGTGTGTATGTGTGTGTGTGTGTAAACTGGCACAGATAGTCTTACTTTAAAGCATATGTTCACCCGAGAAGTTGGACTGTGTGTGGATTTTCTTTTTTTCTTGTTTTTTTTTGAGACAGGGTCTTGCTATGCAGTTCAGGCTGGCCTTGAGCTCACTTTGTAGCCCAGGCTGGTCTCGAACTCACAGCGATCCTCCTGCTTAAGCCTCCCGAGTGCTGGGATTACAGGTGTGTGCCACCACGCCCAGCTTGGATTGTCATTTGTATAGTGATTTAACTTATAGGAAGCAAACATCTTTCCCTTCAATGTCAGAGATTTTCCAGTTTGTGTGACATGAATTGTATAGCTGACTTCAATTGGCCATGACTATGTAGAGATATCATAGTTCTGCATTTCTTATTGCGCTTGTAGAAATCAACCCGTGGTTTGGGGGTGTTAATTAGCAAAGGTACGAGCCACCACAGTCACTTTCCCACCATCTGTCAGGGACCAGGGACTAGAAGAGAAGCCCTTGCCTTGTGCTCTCCCCTCATCTGTGCGGAGCCCCTGCGGCTCTGTGTCCTTCAGCAGATGGTGACAGCTTGGGAAAAGTTGACCCAGACTGCTTTTAGATCCCAAATTCGGTACTGGAGTGGTTACAGGTTATTTCTGGTAGAATAATTTAGGAGGCACGGCCATGATTTTAAAGGTACATTTGTTCCCATGAGGATGAGGGGCAATGTCTCTCCTGACTGCCACCACAGAACTCACGTCCCTGACTGGCTCTAAATCCACCTCAGAACTCTAGCTGAACACCTTCAGCTGCAGCTGCCCCAGAGGCTGTCTCTTCTCAGCGTGTACTGCCCTGTGCATGGAAAGGAAAAGGCAGAAGAGACACACAGATAGTTGAGAACTGTCAGCAGTGCCCACTCACCAGCTGTGTGAATCGCCTCTCCAGAGCTTGGTACTCCAGAGAGCTCTTGTTGAACAGGTCGTCGGAGAAGGGCATGTTAGCAACACGCACACTGAAGAACACAACCAGCTCTTGGCCCTTGGTGGCAGTGGTCATAGAGCTGGTGGTGATGTAGTGCAAAGCTGGGACGGGAGTGGTTCTCTCCAAGAAACCATCTGGGGCAGAAACATATCCACTCAGCCGCAGTTCTTCCAACAAGGCAGGGGTGCTAGACGCATCACCGGTCACATCTTGGTCATCTGTACTCAACCTGCCGTCATCTGAAGACACAAGTGAATGTGAAATTTCCAGGGACAGCTCATCGGCAGCAGAATGGTCACTAGTGGGCACAGTGACCTCTGGGGCTAGTACTACTTGGTCAATGGACATCACGTCCATGGCGCTCTGATCAGTCAGAGAGAAGATGCTTGATGTAGGGAGTGGTGGAGTTTCTGACAGGGAGGCAGAAGCCCCTGCTGGTGGAGACCAAGGACTGTCGGTGGAGGAAGCCGCTGTGATCAATTGCATTATGTCCAAGTGGTCCCAAAGAAGAGAAAATAAAAAAGAAAATTTAAAGTTAGGCTTAACTTTAATAAGAAAGGTATTATATTTGCATCGATCATTTCAATGCTAAGTCTTTTTAAAAGAGAAATTGAAGGGCAGGTAGAGCAAGGGCAGGCAATGGCATATCCAAAACTAGGCAGACAGAGGGTGAGTCTCTGCCTAGAAATATGAGACTAAAAAGTACTGGGTGCTTAGAATTTGTAGAATTACACAGTGCAACCATGGGTCAGGTAACACAAACGGACAAGTCACCACTGGAATAGATTTAGATCGAAACCACAGCTGCACTGAAATAGATTTAAATCCCACTTCCCCTCCTGGAACTCTAGATAGTACCCACGCAGTTTTGGCCCAGACATTTTATTCAACAGTACAAACATGCATTCTATCGAACTGAAGTTTTTGGATTCAGTGACCACATTTTGGTCATTTTTACCGCTTAAAATTTAATTTTGCTCTTTCAAAACTGGCTAAGGTTACTGAACAACTTGCCTGTTTGCTAAATGGTATTGAGTGTAAACACATCCATGCCATGTGTAACTTGAATTTTATAATGACCATACAACTTGCTAAATGTTTGATCATGTTTAAAAGCTTTGCCACTATTACATTATCGTACTCTGATAATTTTTACCACAACTTTGCATTGTTTTCTTGGGCAAGTATGCATTGAACTGCTGAAATTTTTGATATGAAATTTTTGGTATAAAAATTAAAATCAATAAGTATTTATGAACTAAGATAGTGGTTATGTGAAACTTTCAATTAAAGAGATTGATGGATTATTAAAATATTCCAAGAAGTCTAAATTCCAGAGCTACTGACCATGTTTAAGGCATTAGGTGAACAAAACAGGGACTTTCTCTGATTACTTCAGTGGCATTTTGGCAAATACGCAGGAAAGCTTTGTGAGATCCAAATGCTAAGTGTGATGAATGGGCTGTCTGGATGTAGATATAATCTTTGGATTTGCAGTTAGCTAATTTACTACTGTGCAATCACCAGAACTGAAACTGCAAGTGATAAACAACTCTGAAAGGTGGAATCACGTTAGTTTTATTGCTTTCTTAAAATAAAACCTGGCTTTCGGTGAGTTGGGCCCAGATTTCAGACAGGCACCCTCTGTTCTTTTCCCTGAGGGTGCCTAGGAGTGTGTAGCCATGCTGTCAGAGATAATATTCCCTGATATGCAAGGTGTCTCTGTGGGTACACGTGCAGTCTCATTCAAATCTCCTTTCCTATGGACCAGTGTGACTTGTGTCTCTCTTGGCAATCCTCAGTGTGATGCTATTGGAAGATGGGGCCTTCGTGGGGTAATTGGGTCATGAGAGCGGAATCCTCATGAAAAGGATGGGGATTGCCCCCTTAAAACAAGGGCCATGAGAGATATCATCTCTCTTTTTGTCATATGAGGTTTCATCTGCAAACTGGACAGCTTCTCATCAGAAACCAAATCTGCCAGCACCTTGATCCTGGATTGAGAAGTCTGTTTTCACCCACTTACCACGTGGTATGTTGTTATGGCAGCCTGAGCTAAGATACCCATGAGAGGGTCTGGGGTAAGTAATTTAAAGGCAGCTGGTATTATCTGTGGTGTGGGTTGATATCTTTGCCCTGGGAAATGCACTTGAACATATGCACCTACAGTAGGCTCTCGGTACCTCTGCAGAGGATGAGGGTCGGGAGAATCTGAGGTGAGAGCCCCGTGAGGGCTTCTTCGTTCTACTCTGGGGCCAGGACCTCCTTACATCTTTCTCTCTGGATAGAATTTACTCAGCTTGAAACAGGCCACTGCATTATGGCACCAGCCAGAGAATTTCTAGCCTCCTTCCTTTGTGGCATCATAACGTTAACAAACATTCACATTCACAGTCACAGCACACATGACCAAGTGATATCACAGTTGGCTGTTTAAAGATACTGTATAGGATGTCACTTGGAAAATATATGTGGTAAAAATTAATTCGATCTATACGAATTCAAATGTAACTGGGTATCTTTATTTTTCTTTGCTAAATCTAGCAGCCCTATGTAAGTGTAATTTAAAAAGATTCCTGTTTCTTTTCTTTTGTTCTTTTCTCTCTTTCTTCTTTCCTTTTCCTTTTTTTCTTCTCTTTTCTTTTCTTTTGGCTCAAGATTGAAGCCACTAAAGCAACAGTCAATTTCTCTGGGAGAAAATTGTTCATGCAAATTTTACTACCATTTATAAGAACGTATATTATAAATAATTATGTGTTCAACTAATTCTTATGTGGAAATTAGTAATGGCAACGACACAGGCCAAGGCAACCTTAAATTTTACACACTGTAATAGGTAAGTCAAGAACTGAAAAGCCAAGGCCATTTATTTTGTCCTGAAAATGAAAAGTAAAAAGTGCTGGAGGGCGTGTGGGAGTCTGTGCAGGAGTGGAATCTGTTTGCGTGCGTGTGTGCGTGGCGGGGGCGCTAGCTGTAGGCCTGGCTGCGGGGGATAGAGTAAGTAGCTCTTTTGGCCATCTTCTAGGTAAGAGGTCTGCCCAACGCCAAGGCCACAGATGAATTGGTTCAATCCAAAGTAGGAGAACTTGGGCCCCGCTCAAGCCTAAAGTGAAATAAGCCAGTAAGAGACGAAGAGGGGCGCGGTGTGTGGAGGTACCTGCCGAAGCCCTGTTAGTGGCCAGAGGTGAGCAGGGAGTGAGGGGCCTGGCCGAGGTGCGGCTGCTTTGCGCACTGCTACAAAGGGTCACATGTGCACGGGAGCCACAAACATGTCATCGTGGCCTACATCATGTTAAAAAATCTAAAGAAAGAGATTCCACAATCTCCTTTAGGTCTTCAAGTGGTATGACCAGTAGGTTTTTAACTTTATATCAAGCAAATCCATTTTACCATAATAAGTTACTATTTTGGTATCTTATAGTGTTTATTATTAATTCACTGGGGTAGATTCTGATATCCTACTACATATCAGGCATTTTCCCAGGTGCTAAGCTGTATCTGAACAATAATAAAATTTCTGGCTGCCTAGATCTTATTGTTTAAGAAGGCAAAAAAATAAAACCTAAAATGAGCAAAGGAAAATACACAGTATACCGGTGGTGATAAGTACTATGGAAATAAGATGACACAGCAAAATAGGTGAGGGGGCAGGGCCCCTGATTCTGTCGTGGGTGGTCCCTGGGATTATTTGAGTACAGGTCTGAAGGAGCCAAGCATGAGAAGCGCAAAGGAAGGTGAATGTCTGCCATGTCCCAGGGACCAGCAGAGGGCTGGCATGCCCTGAAGGGAGTCTGCAACCACGTGGCTAAAGATGTTTGCAAACACACAGGGTCTTGAAGCGTTTTCCCCAGGCATCACTGCTTAGGGTGTGTTTACCTAAAATCTGTCCCCTGACACAGGGGAATGGGATGGGAATCCTGAAAAATTTTTGGAGAGCTCCAGAAAGATGGCAAAGTGATCTCTCAGACAGACAGCTGTCCCTGGTGTGAGGGAACCAGTTAAGTCCAAAGAAATTTGAATGCTTATCTACAGTGATGTCAATACATGATGTGTACAACTGATATTTTAAAATTTTTTTTATTTTTAAAGAGAAAAAAACCCAAAGCAACAACAACAAAGACAAAAACAAAACAACACAAAAACAATAAAAATAATAAAACTGGTATTTTTTTTTAAAGTATGAGCGAGTGCTACGAGAAACAGCTGCGTTAAGAGCAACTGTTTTGGTAGGTAGGACGGCGGGGTAGGAGGGCCTGAGGTAAGGCACGCTTTTTTCGACTCCTCAGAACACTTTACCATGTTTCACTTTTAGAAAATTGAACTTTTCAATTGTAGTTATTGTGGATTCAAACGCCTATCTAAGAAATAACGCAGGGAGTGGCGCCAGTGAAAAGCGAAGAGCAACAATCTCCGAGGGGTCCCCTAGCCCTTGCCCAGAAGCAACAAAAAGCTGATAAAAATGTCAGCGTTCCTCTGGAAGCTATAGAAATGTGTAACAATCAGGACTAAGAAAAACTGGCTGAATCTTGTGAAGCACAGTGAACTTTGGGGCATTTTTTCCTCCACATATTTAGCCTTCTGATACTCCCAGATCAGCAGTCTTGAAAATAACTGCCCTCCTCCTGGGTGCCAGGACCACAGGGACTGGAATAGACCAGTTACAAAAAGCTTCCGTTATTTATTCGGCTTGTCACGTGACACACTCTCACGGGTTGCCTGCTTTGATCTGTCCTGAGCAGGGACACGCCTGGGGCTGGAGTGGCACCCCGGGGGAGTCTGGAAAAGCCACAGGCCAGTGCGTTCCTGGCTGTGTGGGTGAGGCAGTGGGTAAGACTGAGGCAAACAACGGAAGAAACAGCGTGGAGGGAAGCTGGGGAAGTAGGTCATCTAAGGAATGAGCGCCTTCTGGAGCCCTGGCGTTTCCCAGCAAGCAAGTGACCCTCCTGCCCAGGGCTGTGGAACGACCAGGAAGAACTCCCATCTTGGCTTAGAGCTTCTGCAAGAGCAGGATGGGAGCCCTCACGCTTGGCTGCTTTGTGGCTACAGGAGTTCCTGCAGGGTGATGAACAGTTTCTGGAATTATACTGTTTGGAGGTGATGTTGTATAACATTGGGAGTATCCATAACCCCCTGGGTTGTCTAATCAACAATGACTGAAATGCGGAATTTTATCTCAGTGAAGAGGAAAAATTATATGTACAAGCTCCTGTGAGCCCCTCATCTGATTCCGCTAATGTTAACATCCTGCGGAACTGCGGTATGGTACCAACCAGGGTGCAGCGTCAGTGTCCAGGCACGGAAAGTTCCCATCGTGTCGCTTGCTTATCGTCTGCCCCAGTTCGCCTCCACCCTATCCCCTTTGAACAGCTGGAGAGCATTAGCGTTTTCCATTTATATAATCTGGTCAATTGGAAGTGCCATGCGAGTGGACTACAGTATGTAACTATTTGG